GTTGTCAAACTCCACAGGTACCTTGTCGACAGATTAGGTCACAAATTGTCTCTCCCCTGCCCCAAAAGTCTAATAAGAACAGTGCTTAGACCAGGGGTGTCAAACCAGGGATGGGATTCACATTTTGTTACCACTGGTTCTGTGGGCGTGGCTTGGTGGGCGCACTTTGGGTGCACGCAGAGGGTTTGCTACTTCAGCCTTCTGCAATCCTGTATTCTCCCTGTGTGGTAAATAGTTGACACGCGGCAATCCTGCGCAAAGCAGCTGAGCATCAAAACCAGGAAATAAAAGGTCACCAGGGTCAGTGGGAGGGCCCAGCAGCTGATCATCGGAGCGAACCGGTTTGCTAATAGATTATCCTCGGAGCTACCAGTTTGGCCGAACCGGTAGAATACCACCCCTGTGTCAAACTCAATTGCATTGAGGGCCACATCAGGGTGGTAGTTGACCTTGGGGGGGGGAGGGGCGTGGCTGGCAGTGGGCGTGGACAGCTTGATATCACTGGGTGTAGCTGACTGGGTTGATGTGGCCATCTGGGTGGGCGTGGCCAGCTTGGACACCACTCCCCAAACTGCTGACATGTTTCCTCTTCACATTGGGTAGACCGGGCCCAAGCAATGCCTGGTAGACTGGAGTGGCCCTGCAGGCTGGATCCAATCATATTGCAGGCCAGATCTGGCACACAGGCCTTGAGTTTGACACTCCTGGTTTAGACAACGCCATAATCCAGCACTTCTCAACCGTGGCCACTTGAGGAGGTGTGGACTTCCAACTCCCAGAATTCCTTTGACGTCCACATGTCTTCAAGTGACCACGGTTGAGAATATTGCTCTAGTTAAATTTCTAGTGATCTTTGCCATACAGCTAGTCCTCAACCTATGACCACTGTTGAGCCCCAAATTATTTGTTAAGCAAGAGAGTTAATTGAGTTTTGCCCCATTTACAACTTTTCTTGCCATAGTTGCCAAGTGAAACACTGCAGTTATTAAGTAACATGATTCAGTGAATTTGGCTTCTCCATTGACTTAGCTTGTCAGATCTGCCTAGACAACTGCAGCCGTCATGAATGTAAGTTAGTTACCAGGCCTCTCAATTTTGATCAGATGACTAATGGCTGTGTGGGAAATGGACATAAATCACTTTTTTTCGGTGCCATTGTGACTGAACAGTCATTAAATGAACTGCTGTAAATCAAGGACTACCTGTAATTCTCAATTGTCCGTACTGCTTAAAGCAGAATCCACTCTACTATGCAGCAGTGAATTAGATTTTTTGGGGCTTTCTGAAATGAACCAAAAAGCAGGAGGGAAGATGGTCAAACTTAATGCATCTCATTTTCCAATTTTATTTTACTGGGTGGGAGGGAATTTGGCTCCCCTGCCTACATTGCATCCTATGGTCAGTGGACGGTCTGGAAGTCGTCCACTCAAGAGTCGCTTCGAACTGCAAGACCGGCAGCAAATACATTTGATATTAATAAAATAGTCCGAGATGGCCAATTTGCCCATTTCACATTTGTGGGTTTGTGATGGCCTTGAGAGAACGACAAATGATGTTGGATGTGATAGAACAGGGGTGTCAAACTTGCGTTGCGATGGGGCATCACGTGACTGATCAGGGCTTTTTTCCCCTCGCTAAACCAGGCATGGGCCTGGCCAGTGTGTGATGCATCCAGCCCGTGGGCCGCAAGTTTTGACAGCCCTGCTATAGAAAGATAGCAGGCCATAAAACACCTGAGAATTCTTAGGAGGATTTGATTGAAGGAGGAAAGTGCACACTTGATTTATCTTTGGGAAAATTTGGATCCATCTTTAATATTGGGGTGCTGGTGGAAGCCTCTCTAGCAATATTTTCCACATTGGCTGGTTTTACTTTCCACACGATTGCAACCTGACTAACAATGTGGTTCTTGTTGGTGGGGCAGTGGTTAGAATGCAGAATTGCAGGCTGACTCTGCCAACTGCCAGCAGTTTGATCCCGACAGGCTCAAGGTGGACTCAGCATTCCATCCTTCCGAGATCGGTAAAAAGAGGAGCCAGATTGTTGGGGGCAAGAGGCTGACTCTAAACCACTTAAGGAGAGCTGTAAAGCACTATGAAGCAGTATGTAAGTCGAAGTGTTATTGATACTATTTTTTTCTTCCAGAACAGAGGAATGAAGCATTTGATTCCATTTGCAAGTTCCATTAGGTGACAACCATAAGTTTGAAGCTTACATTTCAAATGATGGAGTCAAATCTATCAAATTTGCCTTCACTAGGACTTATTTCTTTGATTAGAATCAACCTTTTCCGATATAGCTAGAAGTATTTACCTCAAGAACATTTGTACTGACGCCATTTTATAACATGAAAAGGCTCCTTTAGAAGAATGTCGGTTTTTAAATGATTCTCTTGCACTAGTATCGGTAGTTCTAGACATATGACCATAACGGAGCCTGCCCATTGCAGCCATTATGTCATAACAGTTATAAAACAAGTCAGTGACACGACTTATCTAATTTTACCTTTTTTGTTAAGAAAACCAATGATTTGCTATAGGCACACCAAAAGCCAGAAATAATCTTCATAAAATGCAGAGGTGTGACCTTGGGTTACTACTGCAAATGGCTGAATTGTGGCCATGTTGTTAAGTGCCCAAATTTCAGTCGTGACCGTAAAAGTGGGCCCAATCTTCAGATCTTAGAATCCAGAATTGTAAGCCCTTTTTCTGGTTGGTTCTAATTTCGAATAGCGACTAAGCAACTGGTTGTAAATTGAGGACAACCTGTAAGAGCCAGTCACTCTCAAGTGTTCTTTGCTTATTTGGGGCAGGTGGGGGGAGGAAAGCCAACAACTTAAAAGAGATAACATATACCATGGTTTCTACACTGCACAGCCTAATGGTCTGTTCAGAAATAATGATTATTCCAAAATGAGTGTTGCCTTATTTATAAAACTGGTGGTAATCAAAAGTTACTATTTCCTGATGTAGAAAATTAAGGCAAAGATAGTGTGTCTAGGAAAAACCAATTTATTGGAGGAGACGATATGGGAGAATCGATACTAATTAGGTTAATTAAATAGTGTCTGCTCCAATTAACACCATAATTCATTTGGGTTGGTTTAATTTAGGTCAAATCGCTGCTCTGAGGCCTTCTGCTAGGATTTAAAATGAATTCCATTTATTCCTGCTAACCATTAACCTCGCAGACACGGAAATCTGTTTCACATCCAGGTAATACATGCCTGTGCAATTCATCCAACGTTCCCAGTCCTGCCTAGCCTAGAAGATTCATCAAGCCACAAGTGTCTTCTCTCTGTGATCTAAGTCCTGGAACAAACCCTTGTAGCCATGTGTGCTAGCGGTAAACACATGGATTTGCACAACTTAAATCTTATGTTCAAACTTGTCTTGAGAATCGCCTGCCTTCTGGTACTGTGGTTTCACTCCATGTGTCGGGATCACAGATACTGGAAAACCATGGAGTTCGTAACCTCCGTATTAGAATAACAGCCTTGAAAGGGATCTCGGGAGATCTTCCAGTCTGACTCCCTGCTTGAGCAGAGGACCCCATACCATTCCGGACAAATGGCTGTCCAATCTCTTCTTACAAAAACCTCCCGTGATGGAGCACCCATTTCTGAAGATAAGCCATTCCACCGATTCATTGTTCTGTCTGTGCAACTGGGCAGTTAAGTGCTCATTCTCCAAGATCATATCCTAATCAGTGTTGCATCTGGCTTGTTGCTCTGGTCCAGCTAAGATTGACTGGCCTGGGATATCTGCAGGGCAGCTCCCATTGACTTGAGTAGGCACTTCCCCCGAAGGCAGGGGTGTAAAACTTGCAGCCCGCGGGCCAGATGTGTCACATGCTGGCCCCGCCCCCTTCCAGTTTAGCGAAGGGGGCGGGAGCCCAGATGCATCATGTGATGCTGCCGTGAGTGTGACACCCCTGCCCTAAGGGGAGCGGATATGCAACATTGAGCTCTCTGTCTCTCTTGCTGCTCCTGGATGGACAGTGTAAATTATCATGGGCAAAAACCTTCTTTCCACCCAGCTTCAACAGGTACACCAATTGCAGCCCTTCCTGTAGGGGCAATTTGTGTATATTTCAAAGGCACTTTAGCGTAGTGGTGAAGGTGATGGGCTATAAACTGGGAGACTGTGACTTATGCTCCCCCTCGGGCATGGAAGTTGGTTGTGTCCTTCTCTCAGCACAACCCATCGAACAGGGGCAGTTGTAAGGAAAATAGAGGACAGAATCCTATTTTTTTTTCTTTTTATGACCCTATAATCCCTTGCTTTGGGGTGGAGTTGAGCGACTGAATGGAGCTGAGCATTTACTGGCCAGATGCCCTTCCTAACACCAATAGAGTTCACAGCAAATATTTTCTCTTTGCACCCTGAGAGAGAAATATCTGTTGCTGCCTAGGATTGAACTCTCAACCTTCCAAGTTAGGAGGGCAGCATCTTCACCACTAGCCTACCAAACTGCTCAGGCAGGATCATTATATATAAGGGTGGGATAATGACGATGATCACCACGATCACCTTTGCCAGAGCCTCATGTGTGCTACTTCAATCCTCTCTTTGTGCAGAAGAATCCAATTTTAGCAGCCCAGATAGGGAGAGGCACACATGGGCTCAATTTCCCGTCCTAAAGATGAAGCCAATGTTGATGACTGATGCCAAAGGTGGCATCCTGGATGCCCTCAACTCTGGCCTCCCTCGGAGGGCAGTGTAGAAATAAAAATGACAGCAGTGAGTGAAGAGGAGCTCCTTTTCTGAAGGCAAGGAAGTGTATGCAACCCAAAACTCATCAGCTGCCTGTCCTCAGCCTTGTCATTATCTCCCCTCCATTAACCAACCACACGGCTTTAGAGCTCAAATCAATATTGTCCTCTACATTGAAGCGCAAGACCATTTACATCTGCTTTTTTTCCCTTACGGCAAGCACGGATGGCAAGCCGTAAACTCAATCCAATCTTTTCTGCACCTAAACAAAAGAGAAACACATTTAGTTTTATATTCATTTAATAGTTTACCAATTGGTACAATAAGATTTTTGTTTTAATATGCAGAAAACATGAATAAATTTTGTTTTACACAGTCTGAGAGCAACAAATCTTACTGTAAAACACAGAGCAGTATTATATACATTCCTTTACTGATTTTTTTTTTTAATTTTAATTGTGTCAATATCTTCAGTTAACTCCTACATTCTGCAGGGGGTGAGGAAAAACGTTCTCCAATAGCAATTTCTAAATCGCTCTTACTGGATTAAAAAAAGAGAGAGAGAGAGAGAGAGAGAGTGAGACTCGTGTCTTCTTGTCAGTGTCAGGAGCAAACTTCTAAAACATGGACAATTTTTGCTCATTACTTCCAGAAAGAACTTTGGAAAAATTCAAAGAATGTGCTTAGGACAAGAAAGCAGTTACAAGGACAGAAGGAGAAAAAAGGAAGTGGAACCGACTTAATATCCAGTTGTGACTTGTTAAATCCAGTTCCACTTTTTTTTTAAAATCAACCTTATCTTATTTCTTCCCCAATCACTTTTACCAACTTTATACACCATCATCAATAGAGATTTAGAATAGCTAGTACCTTGGGCATTTTTAAAAAAATACGTAACTGTGAAATCATAAACAGAGATGTCATTTTCTCTCTCAAATCCGGTCCATTTTACATTCCAAACTGCATTTCAGGATTTTCAAGCCACAACTGTGTGCGAAACCCAACGCAAAATATTACTGTGTTTAAATAGCTTTCGATGGATCAGGTTGTGGAGTCACGAGAACAGGCCGTTTTAAGGATGATTTGACCAACTCTTCGACTGACATAAAGAAAGATAAGAGGCAAAAACAGAAAGATCAGCAGACAGAACAAACCTGGAAAGGGATACGGGAGATCAGAGGAAAGGGGGCAGTGAAGCAATCCCCAAAGCTTTCAAAAGACTACAGTGCTCCACAGCTCTTGACAACTTGCTAGCAACTAATATTTTGTGGTTGTTGTTGGTTTTTGTTTTTTTTTTGTAATTTTTCATTATTAGTGCTCTGGGCACATCATTGGTCACACCACACACAAAAGTAGGACGGCTTTTAAAACAAAAACAAAAAAGTGTAAAGTGCAGATTGCTCCAAGACTTGAGTCAAGGGTGTCTTAATCTTGGGCAGCTTTTAACACCTGTGGAATTCAACTCCCAGAATTGTGGGAGTTGAAGTCCACAGGTTTTAAAGTTGCCAAAGTTGGACACCCTGACTTAAGTTTTTGGATTTGTGTTCAAACCACCACCACCAAATAAAAAAGTAAAATAAAAGTTTGCACTTTTTTTTCAGGTGAAAGAACCAAAACAACAAAACAAAACAAACAAACATCTGGATCTAGGACTTCTCATGGGCAGAGTCTCAGCTCCTAGTTCTGGAATGGTTCCAAGAAAAACTGCCTGCAACTGAACAGACACAGAGAGCTGAACATCCCTAGAGAAATCTGGCATTTGGTAGCCACTTTGCCCATGATTGAAATGACCAAATGCTTCAACGGTGAACTTTTTCCCCCCATTTGGTTTTGTGTTGAAAAATGTGGCTTAGTTAACTAGTTAAACCCACAACTGTCCCTGAGAATGCTTACTAATGATGGGCTATTAATTAAGGGGCCAATTTGCAAGTTCCTTTCCCCCCAAAATAAATTGAAGAAAAACATTTGGCTTCAATCTCTATTTGCTGTTTCAGTAGGAAAAAAAGCAACAGTGGTAAGCCCCCGTTAGTAAGGTACCCTTGTTTCACTGATTATGCAAATATAGTTACTTCCACTTTTTTTAAAAAAAAATCATTAGTGTCACTACATCTGGCCAAGAAATATTTTTAAGCTGTTAGCAGGCATTGTTCCATGCTCAAAAAACCAAAGAGCCATCGCTTTAAAATAGGAAACCTCCAATATCCAAGGTCTACAAGTTCTTACTGACCACAAAATGACAGGATCACATCCAGCCTCTATACTCTCAAGCTACCTTTGGTCTCCTAGTTCCTGGATAAGAAACCCAAATGCCTCAAAACACACACACACACACACACACACAAATCAGTGGGGTGAACCAATGTTTGTGATGGAACCTTATTTTCTCTTGGCATGCATTTCAATCCTCCCAAAATGTGTTTCTGTGACTTGTGTTTAAAAGGGACACATTTTGCTTTTTGTTTGTTTGTTAAATAAGTCATAAAACAAATAAAAGCAAATAACCATTTCTTTTAAAATAGGTCCAACTGACAGCTTGCTACGTTAATATGTAGTGGGTTTGGGGGTACAAAAAGATATACCTGATCAGTTAAGATTAGACTTTATTGGGGGGGGGGGGTGTTAAAAGAGCAGATAATGCTAATAAATAGGATTTTCTTCCAATTTTCCACATTGAAATAGGACTGTAGCCCATATTTCCTCAAGAAGAATAGGTTGGAGGTGGTGGTAGGGGGATTTAAGGAACAAAATGTGGTTGTGAAATGATCTAGATCAGTGTTTCTCAATCTTAGTTACTTTAAGACGAGGACTTCAACTCCCAGAATTCCCTAGCCAGCATAACAAAGCTGGCTGGGGAATTCTGGGAGTTGAAGTCCACTCATCTTAAAGTGGCTAAGGTTGAGAAATACTGATCTAGAAACTTGCAAGCTCTCAGTTAGCATATAACTGTTTTTCATTTGCAGTAACAGGAATTTTTGTCGTACTGCAAGAGCTTGCTATGTTCTCCACAAAACATTCCAAAATCTGGGACTGCTTGCTTTGAAAAGGGAGTGCAGAATTGTCTCACTTAATAAATCTCCAGCAGCTTTGGGGGGGGGGGGGGGGGGAAAAGGGGGAGAGGGGTGATGGCTTTCCCTACTGTTGGCTTTGCACGAACCTGAAACCATAATCAAAACCAACCAAGAGACACCATTGGCTGAACCCTCAGGAGTCAACTGGGAGATTCACATCTAACTGCTCCAAGTGGTAGCTAAGGAAGAGCAAGACTAGCAGCCTCCTATAATGGGTTTTGCATGAAGCGTCAAATGTTAGAATGCAAGGATGTCTTGACAACCAAATTTGGGAGGGGGGGGAGATACACACACTTCATACCAAGGTTCTCTTCCTATTTTGCAGCCTGTTAGTATGAACATACTAACTTTGTTCTTCTTCTTTTAAATGTGATAGGAAACCAAAATAAATATATATCCTTTTGGTTTGACAAATCTTATAAGGGGGGGGGGGGAAAAACAGAAATTTTATTTGTTTCCATTAATTACATTTAAGATTCTAAGTTGCAGCTTTGTTTTAAATCTAGTAACTTTAGATTTCTTAAGCATACTTAAGTGATGTTACAGAGATACGTGTTTCTGAAATAACCCACCCCGCCCCCCGCAAAAAAGAACCCCCGTTATGAGTCACTTAGTAAATAGGCACCACCAACAGTAGAGTCGGGGATTCAGCTTATCCAGTACAGAATGATTTTGCTGTCACCAGTTTAAGTGCCCCTAATTCAACCAACCGGCTTCTGCCTTCTTAGGTCTGATGTGACCAATGCCAGCCCAAATTCTTAAACCTATGGTACTTCTAGACAACGTATGTAAATTTACAGTATACAATTTGGATTCACCATGCATGAATACTTTGTGTGTAACATTTAATAAGCTCAATCTACATCCAGAATAATTTACATGAAAGGACAATATTTATTTTAAACAGAGCTCAATGGGTAACCATGGTATCCGAGTGCATCCAGAGGGAGAGGGAGGGGAGGGAGGGGGTCAGATGTAAATCCAATCAACGGCACTCCCAGACTTTTACTGTTTGATCTACGCTGCCGGTCACCACATAGGGCGCTGTCTTGTGGAAATCTGCAAGGAAGAAGGGGGAAAGAAAAGAAGAAAATAAAAGCTAGTATGCATAGGGTAATTCTATTGAAATTGAATTAAAAAGATTATGAATGGACACCATTTGGATTGTGGGTACAATTCCAACGCCTCATATCTGCATGACATCAGGATTAAGTCAGGTAATTAAAATGGACTACTGAATGAAATGAAATACTGTCATTTCTTATATAAAACATTAGTCAATGTTTAATTAAATTAATAATAAGCAACATCCTAAAGCAGGGTTCTTCAACCTTGGCAACTTTAAGACTTGTGGACTCAGCTAAGCTGGCTGTGGAATTCTGGGAGTTGAAGTCCACATATCTCAAAAGGTTGAGGAACTATTCCAGAGATATAGGTCCATGGAGATTCTCAGACATTCAGGTTAACGGTTGTCCCAAAGGTGTTTTTTCAAAAGGTGACTGGATTTTTTGGTTTTTCTTTGAAAACATTTCACTTCTCTTCCAAGAAGCTTCTTCAACTCTGACTGGATGGCGGGGAATGGAAGGATTTATATTCCATTTATATTTATATTCCATTCTCCACCATCCAATCAGAGCTGAAGAAGCTTCCTGGATGAGAAGTGAAACGTCTTCAAAGAAAAACCAGAAAAAGTCCAGTTGCCTCTTGAAAAAGCACCTTTGGGTGTCCCAGAGATAGTCTCCTTCCCCATGCCAAATATTTCTTCACTGTTCTTCACTTCAACGTTTACAGAGATTTTAAGTCAATCTATTAGGTGACGGCCATGGGCTTACCAACAAAACATTATATGCTCCATTCAAATTTAGTTTAAACAAGAACAAGTCAGAACACAGGCATTTCCTGTTTTAAGTTTTGACACGCTCTTACAAGCTCTGCGCTGGACCCTAAGCAATTCAGTAATGAGACTGAATTAATAAATAAATACTGGCATGCGTATTTATCAAAATGTTCTTTGGACTGCAGACACTACTGCCAAGTTATGTATCAAATGCTACATATCAAACAAATGGAATATGAGAAAACATGAGGCTGATGCCCACACTAACTTCTTCTTCCTATCATGTCCTAAAGGTGCTTTTTTTTTTCTTCTTTTCAAGAGGCAATTGGAACTTTCTGGCTTTTTCACTGAAGATGTTTTGCTTCTCATCCAAGCAGCTTTTTCAGCTGTGACTGGATGGTGAGGAATGGAAGAATTTGCACTCCTTGCAGACAGCTGGTCAACTGCATTTTTTTTTAGAGAGTCATTAGGGCCACCTAGAGATTTATCTGTCATATCAGTATCACCCGAGTGGTGCAAGTGGCCGTGGAGCCTCCTTGGAACTGTTGAAAGGACTGTGTTGTAGACTGGAGATAAGATGATGACCTGGATGACTGAGAATCTCCATAGACATCTTTCCTATCATGATCTCCAGCAGTTATAATTCCTTTTCTTAAGCAACAGATAAAGACATGTTTCCTTTGCTTCCTCCCAGGAACTGTTTCCGTTCCAGCCTTAAGACTTCTGGAGATGAAACACCAGTCTACCATATGTACAGTATTCCAAGAATGCTATGGGCAGCAAGAAAGGGTACCAGATTACAGAATAACAAGAGTTGGAAGGGACCTTGGAGGTCTTCTAGTCCAACCTCCTGCTCAAGCAGGAGACCCTCTACCATTGCAGACAAATGGCTGTCGAATCTCTTCTTAAAAACCTCCCATTTTGGGGCATCAATTGATCTGGAGGGGAAAAACGAAGCTCAAACCCTTTGGCCACCAAATGAGAAGAGAGAACTCACTGAAAAAGATCTTGATTTTGAGAAAGATGGAAGGCAAAAGGGGGATGGAGGATGAGATGGTTAGACAACGTCATTGACGCAGTGGGAATGTAGGTCTGGGCAGACTCGAGGAGGCAGCGTAGGGCAGGGCAGCCTGGCATGCTATATGGCCCATGGGCTTGCCAAGTCGGACACAACTCAGCGACAGAACAACAACCAGGGGGGAAAAAATTAAGGCTGATTGTTCTCCTGAGGTGATGATCAGCAAGAACAGCTCCCACTATGAGCATGCAGAATGAGCGGTAAAAAGACTGTCAAGAGAAGCAAAAAGGGGGCAGGGCTGGGAACCCATGACTGATGTGTACGGAGAGGATTAAAGAAATAACTGGAATTTCCTTGCACCAGATAGATTACAGGTAGTCCTCAACTTACAACCACAATTGAGCCCAACGTTTCTGTTGTTAAGTAAACACATTTGTTAAGTGAACGTTGCCCTTTTTTACGACCTTTCTTGCCACAGTTGTTAAATGAATTGCTACAGTGGTTAAGTTAGTATCATGCTTGTTAAGTGAACCTGGCTTCCTCGTTGACTTTGCTTGTCATAAGGTCGCAAAAGGGGGGATTATGTGACCCTGGGACACTGCAACAGTCATAATTATGAGTCGGTGGCCCAGCGACTGAAATTTTGATCACGTGACCACGGGGGAGGCTGCAAGTCACTTTCTTCAGGGCCGTTGTAACTTTGAACGGTCACTAAATGAACTGTGGTAAGTCGAGGACTGTCTGCGTTGATGCAGGCAAGTTGACTTGATGGACTATTTGTTGATGCATTTGCCATGAGCCAATCAAGTGACGGTTATTTGGCTCAGCTTCCCAGTCACAGAGGCACATGCTCCCAGACCACTTAAGGTGTATACATACCCAACGAGGTAACAAAATGTTCATGCGCATTAAGAGTCTTCATGCATCTTTTGTTCTTGTAGTCCCAGACACGTAAGGTCTTGTCATCGGCACAGCTCAAAATAAATTTACCACCAGAGTGGAACAGGACACCACGTACCCAGTTATCATGGCCCACCTTTTAAGTGAAAATAGAAAAGCCCAAAGTCACAAGCAGATCACAGATGGGATACCTTGGGAGAGGAAGAACACAAGTCTGAATCCAGGGTTCAGATCGTGTCGCTCCTTGCCCCACATTTACCCCAGGCTAGAACTAACAGCAGGTTGAGTTTCTTGGGTGGAAATTGAAACCTGTTTTTCTGTTCTTCCTTCAAGCTCTCCCAATTCTATTTATTCTGATGCGTGCGCTTGGATTCCTCAAGAGGATGCCTGAGCTCACCCCGTCAGAAGCGCAAATCTATTCCCTCATGTAGCAACTAGGCAGAGTTGCAAAGCAGATGAACAGAGAAAAGGATGTTCAGGGAAACTTACCAGGGTCATAAGGCACATGCCAGTACTAATGTCCCACATCTTAATGGTCTTGTCTCTAGATCCAGAAAGCAGGAACGGCCCAGGCTTACCACTCTTCTTAGTCTACAGGAGGAAAAAGAAAAAGAAAAAAAAAAGAAATATTCTGTAAAAATTAAGATAATTCTGTATGAAGGAAGGAAGTAAACAACGTGGAGACTTACGTGAAGTTCAAAATATTTTCCCTGCAAGATACCCAGAATGAATACAATCCGAATGCAGGAACAGCAAAGAGTTTCCCAACAGATATGCACACAGACGCTTTGAGTAAGACTAAGCTGCTCTAATGTGCCCTAAATTGGCTGTCGTTGCAGATCATGTTGAAAGCATACGGACATTCTTTGGTGAGAATGGATAGCATTCGTTCAATTACTGCAATCACAGAAAAGGGGCAAAATGGCAGGGCCAACTTCCTATGTTCTAAGTCCTTGCCCATCATGGCTGCTGCCAGGAATCCAGCAGGGAGGGTTCGGATTGGACTGGTCTCAGCAGGTGTAAATATACCTATGACTTTTGCTTGTTTGAATGTATTATTACATAGACCGTAAACTGGTTAGCTTGAAGTGACACAAAAGAGTGTGTGTGTGTGTGTGTGTGTGTGTGTGTGTGTGTGTGTAAGAGGAGGGGAAACAAGACAGAGAGGAGGGGAGGACAGAGAGAACAAGAGAGAGGGAAAGAGAGAGGAAACAAGAGAGAGGGAGAGGGAGAGGGAGAGGGAGAGGGAGAGGGAGAGGGAGAGGGAGGGAGGGAGGGAGGGAGGGAGAGAGAGAGAGAGAGAGAGAGAGAGAGAACACACCAGAGATACAGCCTGCACACAACCTAGTTTTCATTCTCTTGAGATTTTACCTCATCAACTTTTGACACCCCTGACCACAAAACCTTGCTGCAACAGCTCAGAGAGTAAGGAAATGTAAGTTCAGTTCCTAGAAGTTTTATTCTTATGTGTAGTATCCTCCCCAGAGGGTTTCTAATGGGAAATTTCACTTTGAGTTGTCTATCCACAACCACTGGAAGTGACCGCCTGGAGATTGTGTTGTCACCATGAGATTCAAGTCAATCTCTTTTCCAATGAATCTTGTACCTTTCTAAGTCAGAGATCCTGTTGACAGGAGACCCAGGGATGAGGAAAATTGTTCTCTATGGCAGAAGGTGTCGCTTCTTCCAAAGGAGGACATGCATAACTGGGTGCTTCCTTTGACTTTAATCTGTCACTAGAAGCACAGTTGCCCTCCGTGGTAGGGAGAATCTATACCAAGCTTCAATGTTCAAGATATAGAATGCCTAATAATAGGCATGGACCGAATAATTGCCTGCTATTTTGCTTTTCTGTTTTAGTGAATGAATTTTGTTCTTTTTTTTTATCTTTACTGTGTTCGTTATTGGGGGGGGTTTTCCATGTAGGTTGCATGTAGGACTGTCTTATTATTCGCCTGCTCAAGGCTCCTCTGGGAGGAACAGAGGTAAAGAAATAAAATAAAAAACAACAGAGCTACTTAAGGTTCAGCCAATCAGCACAAATCATCAGTTAAAAGAATAACAACAAACCCAGAGTTTCTATTTTCTCCTTTTTCCCTTAATGAACTGATAATTCCTGTCTTTATTGGTTGGGGGTTGTTTTCATTAACAGAGAAGGCCTGTTGAGGAAAGTGATTCTAGAACTGAGAGGAAGATGGTCTGAAGATATCCCACAGCCACACTAGATATAATTTTGCCCGTGTAAGAATTGCTGTATTTGGGATTTTTGCCTTCCAGTTAGTGGAAGAACCTGACCTGAATAACTGCAGTGTCTCAAAAATAGACAGAATGTAGTAATTCACTCCATGTTTTCTCATCAAGTACGATGTAATTCTTGACTATGGTGTCCTCAGGTGGGTTAAATCCACAACATGCAAGATATCTGACAGCATGATGTTGAGGGGATTTTCCATGTATCTTCAAATATATCTTTCCCCCTTCAGCTTTTTAACATCCAAATTGAAGAGTTGTGGTCAATTTTAGGATAACTACTTGGGGATTTCTTTTCAGCTGATCTAAAAATAAGATGCTATTGATTTATTATATCTGAAACAACTCTGTACCAGAACGGAGTGGTTCCTCTGTTCAGACACAACGGTGAAGATATAATTTGTATCATGCATCATCTTCCATTCATCAATAGTAAGGCCTCCCTAATTTGCCTCCTTTTCTCCTATCCTCAAGGAAATCCGTTTCATTTAGAGCAGGAGGTGTCAAACTTGATTTCATTGAGAGCTGCATCAGGGTTGTGTTTGACCTTGAGGGGCCATGGTGGGCATGGCCAACTCAACGTCACTTGTGTTGGGGGCACCTATGGTGGCCCGAGTGCTCTGCCAGCGAAAACAGGCTCCCGAGTTCCGTTTCCGGCTGCGATAGCCTCCTGCAACCCTCTGCCAGTGAAAATGGAGCTCGGGAGGAGCGGCCCTCCTGAGCTCCGTTTTCGTTGGCAGAGGGTTGCAGGAGGCCGTTGCAGCCAGAAACAGAGCTCGGGAGCCCGTTTTCGCTGGCAGAGGCACTGCAGGCTGGTCCTTCACAGTTTCCAGGCCGGCCCTGCACCCCACAGGCCAGATCTGGCCCTCGGGCCTTGAGTTTGACACCCCTGGTTAAGAGGCTCCTCTAAGATAACAAGTAGAAACCCAGAAACAGGGATGTCCAAACAGGACATGAAACATTAAAGAGACTTAAGTAGCAACTAGGTCATTATCGTTGGCATGCTGGACAAGAAAGCCTGGGGCACCTTACCATATGATTTATTCTTAAATGTCAGAGATTAAAAAAAACAGAATTTCAGACACAAGGCTACTTTTTAAAATGAGCTTTCCACAAGTTGGTTCCCTCCAGAAATGTTTACGATGCTAACTGGGGAATGTTTCAAGGGAGAGTCTCAAACTAGAGAGATCCACCCAGGGGAAGGCTGATTTACATTCAGCTAAATATGAGGATTGCTATAACAAAGTTCTCTGCCCCCGTGACTGTTGGGTTCACTTTTAAAAGCAAAGCTGGAATAAGGCCTTAGTAAACAGATATTGGGAATCTAACATTTTCTTCAGCCCTGGAGGCTGTTGGTTATTTTTTGCAGAATTGAGCCAGTACAGACCTGGGTAAAAAAAAATAAGGTCAGCTGAGAGAAACGACCACGATAGGAATGCATAGATATTCTTTTTTAGAGATTGAAAAAGTTTCAATCCTGATCACAATAAAGGCAAACTGGTGGCAATCCTTTTATGGTGCCATTGTAAATGTTTAGGCAAAAACAAAAAAAACCCTAGTAAGTGACTCAAGGGTGCTTTTCCAAAAGCCAACTGGATTTTCTTGGGGTTTTTTTTCCCTTCAAAATGCTTCACTTCTCATCCAAAACGCTTCTTCAGTTCGGTGTTTTGGAAAAGCACCTTTGGGACAACCACGACCTGGATGATTGAGAATCTCCACATTTAGTAAATGAAGTTTCACAGAGGAGCTGGCATGGGTAGGAATTGAACCCAGAAGCCTCCTTTTCTGCGTGGCTTGTTCCCTGAGGACTTTATTCATAGAAAGGAAGGGGGGGGGGGGAAATGGTTGATGGCACTATAGGATGGGTTAGGATGGTGAGAGATGCATTACAAAAATGAACTTCGCACACTGCTTACATCTGCTGTAGAAAATGCACCGCAATGCAGTTCTGGTTCCCTAAGAATGTAGTCAGATTCCCAGGCCAAGCAGCAATTAACTCAAAATTTGCTAAAGTGGCCAGCTATCACCACAGATTAACAGAGTTGAAAGGGACCTTGTAGGTCATCTAGTCCAACCCCTTTAACCCTATCCACAAGAGTCACTTGCCTGAGATGGGCAGCTATTGAAATCGAACAAACGAATGAATAAAAATCCACCTTTTCGGTCCTTCTCCTACCAAGCTCTTTGCCTTCATGCTCAACTAAGTGCGAGGCTGGGGATACCATGATGTGGTCTATTGGGGGGGGGGGGGGGGAACTTAGAGTAACCAATGGCTTGCTTGCGCTGACTGCCAACAGACTGGAAAGCAACATGAAGAGCTTCGGCCGCAGATCTTGTGTGTCACTGGGGGGTGGGGAGTCATTTATTTTGATTCAGAGCCTCATATTTAAGGCGCTTAGTATGTTAAGACCAGAGGTTACTTCTCGGTGGTGGGCCTACTCAGAGGCCATTCGGCTGCATTTCATTTATGCTTCACTGAAATGCGAAAGCTAAAAACCTAAGGGCAGATAGCGTTAACAATCCCTCTGCTACCCAATGAACAAGTGTCACTCTTTTCTATTTGAATTCAGTCATTTTTTTAAAAAAAATATTTACTGTAATCTTTATAATCTTAATTGTTGAGTCTATGAAAGAAGAAAGACAGACTATGGCCTAATTCATATAGCTTTTACAGGTGGTCAGGAGATTGGGGGGGGGGGGGGTCATGTGCCTATTTTGTTAACCATGGGCTATAGTTGAAAGCAGAAAATTACAAATGATTTTGAATAAACACTGCTGCCATCCCATTATTTTTTTACAGAAGAAAATAGTGAAAGTGAAAAAAAATATAGCAATCGCTCAAAGTAGGACTGTGCCCAGCCTTCCCCAAGTTGATGCTATTTATTCCTCTATATCAGAGGTGGGGAGCTATGGCCCCTTTATGACTTGTGGACTTCAACTCCCAGCATGGCTGGCTCAGGAATTCTGGGAGTTGAAGTCCACAAGTCATAAAAGGGCCATAGATCCCCCTCTTTTAGACCTACAGCTTCCACAATTCCTCAGTGAGATTATATAATTATATTGTAATGCATCATAGTACAGGTAGTCCTCAACTTATGACCATTTGTGACCAGTGACTTCTGACTCATCCTCAAAGTTATGACTGTCACACTCCTGTGACTGCAATTTGGGCACTTGGCAACCAGCTTACATTTACGATAGTTGCAGCATCCTGAGGTCATGTGATCATGATTCGCAACCTTCCCAGTTGGCTTCCAACAAAGCAAAGTCAATCTGGGAAACTGGATTCACTTAATTAGTATGAAATTCACTTAATGACCACATGATTTCTTAATGGCCACGGTAACAATGGTAATAAAATCAGGTCTGGTCATGTAATCACTCACTCTAGGACCACACCAACTTATAAGAGAAATTCCAGTCCCAGTTTGGACCTTAAATCAAGGACTACTTGTATGATTCACAAAAACATATTCAATTTGGTATCACACAATCCTGCTTGCAATGGAAAACTTTTACCATATAACATAATAACGCAGAGCAGAGCAGAGCAGAGCAGAGCAGAGTACATTAGAATAGAAAATACTTTATTGACCAAGTGTAGTTGGACACACAAGGAATTTGTCTCTGGTGCATAAGCTCACAGTGTACATACAAACAGCAAGTAATAGGTCAGAGTTCATAATCATAAAGAGAAGATAAAGAAGATTTTCCTTGGAAGAAAATCCAAAGCATCTCGAACTCTCAAGTGGAAAAGTTTGCCAAACCAGTAAAGATGTTTCTCTAAGTGGAATCCCTTACCTCAGATCCTGTAGCTTCCAATATGGTGGAGTAAGAGCTCTCGGGAGCCCAGGAAATACACTCTACTACATGCTCATGTTCTCTAAGTTCAGCTTTGCACTCCTTTGTTGCTACCACCCAGACACGCACGGTCTGGTCATTGGAACAGCTGGCAATCAGCGTGCCATCCTGGTTAGGTCGTACCATGCGGACCCATTCTCGATGCCCCGTGAAAGTCTTCACACAGTAGCTGTTCACAGAAAAGAAAACATGTGGCATCAATACAAGATTGCTACAGAAAACAGAACCAACAAAACTGACGGTCTGAGGACAATTCAGGTGGTTACACCGTATTTTTTTTTTCAAGAGCTAACCTGTACTCTTGCCAATTTAGTTTAGAAATTTTTGTTATTAAACTGCGTTGGGAAGACTATGGGCATTTTGAATAAGCAGACAACAAGGCAATGGGGGGGGGAGAGAAGTTAAAGAAATAAAGATCTGAGTAGGGTATAAAATGATCTCAGGGGTTTACCAGGACAGCCACCAGTATCAGACCAATCCTACAGAAAATATCCAAAATTCCACACCGAAGAATGATGGGAAATCTGAGATCATTTCCCTTGCAAGTCTAAAGAAACGTATGTATCATGCTTCCTGTGTTCCTGGGCTACAGCCTATGAGACAAATGAAAAGAACTAGGCTTATATAAACCAAATACAAAGTTGTTAAATCGGTATTCAGTAACCTAGCAACATAGGTTGAAGGCCACACCTGGTTTTTGTGTGGAATGCCAAGGGCTATATTTTAAAATTGAGACAACTCGTGTCAACTCATAAAATATTTCTATGGTCTTTTTAGAGTTGCCACAACCAGGATGAAGTACAAAACCAAGTGATTTCAATGTTGAGCCAAACACGATAACATGATCACTCTCCGTGCCCTGAATGTTTTTTTCCTCCGGTTTACGAAGTGCAAGGTTTCCAGATATTACATTAAATCAATATGTTTTCAGCCATGAACAGAATTTCAGTATCACTGTGGCTTTAAAAAAAGAGGAGGGGGTTGGGCCAAATGCCACCATACAAGCCCAGAGCTTCATAGAGACAATTTGCCTTTATTTCTCGCTTGTTACATCCCTGTGCTAAAATATAACAACCACACTGGCTACAGATACTGGTGTGTTCCTAGTAAATAACCTTCTGCTTGCAGAGATAATACAGCAGGTATCTATGTTGTGAAACATTGGAAAAGGTGTGACCAAAAGTGAGTGTTCAATATGTTGTCCCTAGGAACAAACAGAGACCCTGTGTGTGGTACTACTAAAGTTTGTACTGGCAAAGAAAATAGCAATAGCACTTAAGATTATATACCGCTTCACAGTAATTTACAGCCCTTTCTAAGTGGTTTACAGAGTCAGCATATTGCCCCCAACAATCTGGGTCCTCATTTTACCCACCTCAGAAGGATGGACCTTGAGCCTGGTGAGATTTGAACTGCCAAATTGCAGTCAGCCGGCATTCAGCAGAAGTAGCCTGCAGTACTGCACTCTAACCATTGCGCCGCCACGGCTCAATACTTTGCCTTCCAATATTCCAGGAGAACCAGGAAAGCCACAAACAGGTTGATACATGTTTTAAACAGACTTGGTTATGTTGTGGCCTAACCCACCCCAGGTCAGGCATGTGTTGATGGTCATCATCTACTAATTGAGCAACCAAAGAAAACTCTGTATCTGCATCTGATGAACAGCTTTGTTGGTTCTGCCTGAGACTGGTCTTCCCTATTACCTGCCTCTTGATCCTGTTAACTTAAGAGATGCTAAGAATTCATTCTGAGTTTTTCTGTATGAAATGCTGTTTTTCCACTACCAAGCCAAGGGTTCCTCTACAATGTTCACCTCATTTCCTAAAGGCATGTCTAAAAATGCATAGCCATATAAACGTAGCTGCAAGCTCTTACCCTGTTTGAATTTCCCACATTTTGATGGTTTTATCCCTCGAAGCAGATACTATATAATCCCCATTGGGCATGATGGCTACTGAGGAAACATTATGATCATGTCCTAGAGGGGGGGGAAAAGAAAGCACAGACTCACATTAAGTTCCCACGTGACTTTATCACAATGTATGTATGTGAATGCCATTATTAAATTCACCCCTTCACACAATTCTGTATGGCATCCAGGGGCCAAACTGGGTGCCCTCCAGATGTGCCAGCTTATAACTGCCATCAATCCCAGTCTGCCAATGGTAATCCTCAAGAGGCAAAAACAAGATGGGATGCTGGAAAAAAACACACAGTATGCTTTGGCAGTTACCTGGCTATTATAAAGAATGATTTGTTGCACAGCTTCTGTGGAATAATTGTGATGTGCTAATTAAACCTCAAGAATACACATTTTCACCCAAGGCACTTGAGCAAGGAGCCACCGTTCTTAAGGCTGTAACCTGGCAGATATTGAAAGAATCTGGAACTAGCAAGGGAGCGGCTTCATGCCAGAATCCCCAAGTATTTTAAATCGAAAAAGGGCGTTGGTACTTACCTGATACGCCCGTTCTCTGTGAGCTGTGAAAAGCATCCAGAAGTGGGAGGTGCTTCAGTCTCTTCTGGAAAGGCTGGGCTTAAAACTCCGGGACGCTCCTCCTCCTCCACGGGACACCTCCCCAGCGTCCCCCAGTTTTGCAAAGACTGAGTGCCAAAGTCCAGAACTCATCACCTAATCTAGATCCCTGACCGGAACGGAACCCCAGACGGAAAGAAATGGGTGGGGCTGGATGCTCTTCATAGCTCACAGAGAAAGGGCGTATCAGGTAAGTACCAACGCCCTTTCTCTTATGAGCTCAGAGCATCCAGAAGTGGGACATACCAAACCATACCAAACCTTAGGGAGGGACTCCCTCTGGATCGAAATCCACTCCTAAACTCTGTGGACCCTCTGCAGGACTCTTCTGCCAAATGAAGCGTCCGCTGAGGCATAGACATCAATTTTATAATTTCTGACAAAGGGCGATGGTGAAGCCCAAGTTGCCGCTCTGCAAATTTCGTCTATGGAAGCCCATGTGGCCCATGCTGCTGATGTTGCCGCACTCCTTGTTGAGTGGGCTGTAATGCCCTTAGGAACTGAGATGGACTGGCATTCGTAACTTTTAGCTATGGTGGCTCTCAACCATCTACCAATGGTCGTCGACGACACCTTGTGTCCTAAAGTGGGTGGGTTGAAGGATAGGAATAGAGCCTCAGATTTTCAAAATGCCAGCGTGCAGTCTAGATAGATGCTTAACGCCCTTCGAACGTCAAGTCGATGCTATTGATGCTCCAGTCTATGAGATGGTTTCGGACAAAAATTTGGAAGCACCAACTCCTGCGCTCTATGGAAGACTGAATTTACTTTAGGGGTGAACGATGGATCCAATCTGAGAACCACTCTGTCCGCATGAAACACGCACAGGTCCTTTCTCATCGACAATGCTGCCGATACGGAAATCCTCTTGCTGATGTGATTGCAATTAAGAAGACCACCTTATATGTCAGGAATTTGAAACTAGCGGTTCTTAAAGGCTCGAACGGGCCAGTTGTAAGTGCGGTTAACACCTTGTTGAGCTCCCAAGTGGGATAGCGGTGAATTACAGGAGGTTGTAAGTTTGCAGCACCCTTAAGAAAGCTGCAGACATGTGGATGGTGCGCTTTGGAATGAAGGTCACCCTAGGATATCACCAAGGCTAAGGCCGCCACCTGTCTGCATAAAAGTATTTGGAGATAGGCCCTTGGTCAACCCCTCCTGTAAAAAGTCCAATAATTGTCCTATTGATGGGGCGGTTGGGTTGATCTTAGAACCCCGGCACCAGCGACAGAAAGCGGACCACGTGGCCTCGTATATACGATTTGTTGAGAACCGTCTGGATGCTTGTATGGTGGCAATGGCATCCTCTGAAATCTGTTGGGTCCTTAAACGACTCCGCTCAACCTCCATACGGCTAGGCTGAGCCATTGTGGGTCCGGGTGAAGTAACGGCCCTTGCGAGAGGGAAACCCTCGACGGTGGAATTTTCCAAGGTTGTTCTCTTGACAGGTCCTGTAAGTCCGCGAACCATGTTCACCTGGGCCAGTAAGGGGCGACCAATATCAATTCTGCTCGTTCCTCCAATAACTTCTGGATCAACCTGGGTATTACAGGGAGTGGAGGAAACGCATATAGAAGTCCGGGAGGCCACTGACATTGCAGGACGTTGACGGCCTCCGCCCCCTGAGTCAGGTACCTTGAAATATACCGGGGCAATTGGGCGTTGAGGGGAGAGGCAAATAGATTGATCACCGGTTGCCCAAACCTCCGCACTGCTTCCTGGAAGACAGACGGGTGTAGGCGCCACTCTGTCTGATCTATCGTGGCCCTGCTGAGCCAGTCCGCTTGTGTGTTTAAGGCCCCCGCTATGTGCTCTGCCTTGAGCGAAAGCAGATTGGCCTCGGCTCACTTGAACAACCTGGCCGTCTCCAGCATCAGAAGTTTGGAGTGGGTACCCCCGTCTGTTTACGTGGGCCTGGGTTGTGATATTGTCTGTCAAGACCAGAACGTGGCGCGATTGGAAAAGGGGTAGAAAACTGCGTAACGCCAGATGAACTGCTCGCAGCTCCAACAGGTTGATGCTTTGTGATTGTTCGGAAATAGTCCAACTTCCCTATGCAGTGTGGGATTGGAAGTGAGCTCCCCATCCTACCAGGCTGGCATCGGTTGTGATCGTTGCCCTACAAGGTTCCGTGAAAGGACACCCCTTGTTTATCGTGTTTTCCGACCACCAGCGGAGAGATCAGAGAACATTGTGCGGTACCTTTATCCAGACGTTGGAAGTGGCTCTTCCGGATCGCTGGAAAGGTAGCAGGAACCATTGCAGATCTCTAGAATGGAATCGAGCCCAAGGCACAATGGAAATACAAGAAATCAGTTTCCCTAACAGTTGAGACAGAACTGCCAGGGAAACCCTCTTTAAGGCTCTGATTTCTCTGGCCAAAGACTGGATACTATTCAACCTGTCCTGAGAGAGAAAAACCTTGCCCTCCACGGTATCTATCACTGCCCCTAAATGAACTAACCTAGTTGAAGGGATCAAATGGCTTTTATCCCAATTTATGGAAAAGTCGTGACCTTGAAGGGTCTCCAGAGTAATCTTGGTATCCAAATTTGCTTGATGTCTGGAAGATGACAAAATTAAAATATCATCCAGATAACATTGTAAACGAATAGATTTGATCCTGAGGGAGGCAGCCAAAGCCGCTAGGACCTTGGTAAAAGTCCTAGGGGCCAAAGCCAGACCGAATGGTAGGGCGATATATTCGTAGTGCTGATCACAATAGCAAAATCTAAGGTATTTGTAGTGAGCAGGTCTAAGTGGTATATGTAGATAAGCCTGTCAGATCTATAGAGGTCAGGACATCGTTCTCTCTGATGCTGAGCAGAATGGACTGGAGAGTAGTCATTTTGAATTTTCGATAAACCAATGATCTGTTCAGACATTTGAGGTCCACAATTGCCCTCCAGCCCCCCGAACTCTTTGGGACCACAAACAATAGAGAGTAACAGCCTTGACCTCGTTGTTCAGATGGGACCTCTCTAATGGTCCGAATTTGCAGAAGATGATTGATAGCCTTCTGCATCAACGCTCTCTTAATGGGGTCCGTGGACCTGGGGCTCCTAATGAAAAAGTTCGGAGGGGAGGATTGAAGCTCTAGCGCCAAACCAAACCTAACAGAGTCCCTGACCCACGCATCAGAGGTGGAGCTGTCCCATTGATCAGCAAACAATTTTAGCCGCCCTCCAATGGGAGCTGCTGTCAAGGACTCACTTGGGGCGACGAAAAAATCGGCCTCCGGTACCTCTGGGGTTTCTTCTGTTTTGGCCTCCCCGCTGACCTCTGTTGGAAGATTCCGACCTATCCTGTCTAAAACTGGGTCTGCAGCCTGATGTTCTTTGTGATCTGGGAATGTATGGGCCTTGATAGTAGGGCCGAAAGAAACCCCTTCGAAACAACTGGGGCGTTCTGTTTTCAGACCTCCGAAAAAGAGGGGGAAGCACTTTTTTCTTGTTTCTATTCTCAATAAGCAGGGGCTCCAAGACACTGCCACATAATTTATCCCCTGATATTGGGGCTGATGCCAGCTTGCATTTATGCTTGGTATCCGCCTGCCAATGTCTGAGCCATAGCAGTCTCCATGCTGATACGTGAGATGCTATGGCTCTAGACGAGAATTTGACTGCATTAAATGTGGCGTCAGCGGAGAATTCTGCCGCTGCAATAATCTTAGCAATGTCCTGGTGGGCTCTGACATTTGACGCCGGCAATATATTCCTCAAGTGGAAGAGCCATCGTAGGGAGGACCGTGTAAAAAAGGATGCAGCTGTAGCTGCCCTAATGGCCCAGGCGTCAGAAACATGCGCCCTACGGAGTGCCAACTCTGCTCTCTTTTCCTCCAGTCTCAAGGCTTCCTCGGCCTCGTTGGGAAAGGTTGAAGTAGAGGCCAGTGCCACAATGGGCTCATCCACCTCCGGCGTTTTGAGAAAATTTGAAAACTCTGGTGCCGAATTATAATATCGTTTATTGTACCCTGTTGGGGCTGGGTAGGATGCTGCTGATGCCCATTGATTTTGTATTAATTCAGCAAACATATGAGGGACAGGAATAGTTTCTGCCTCATTAGCCAGTTGTGAGAATATTAGATCCTCGGATTTGTCCTGAGACCCTGTTGACAATGGATGGGGGCTTGATGTGCCTAGTTTAGCGGTGTTCTTACTTTGAACAGTAAAGATTTAAAGAGGTGCGGACGAAAAAGGCCAGAAAAGGTAGGTTGGTCCAGAATGAGGCCTTCGTCATTCCTCGTTCTAGTGGGTCAGCCTCTGACAACCCCAAGTCCATCTGATGAATCGACCACACCTTCATGGGAACATCCTGGTCATCTAATTCCACCTCCTCCCGAAGACCCTGGACTGGTATGTCAGGGATATTGGGGAATACCTGAGTTTGATGATGTCCCATATGCACAAAGGATCGAGCAGACAGGGATCCCTCTTCTGAAGTAGCCGGAAAGTGTCTGGTCCGGATGGATTGCTGAACTCCAGCCGCAATGCCCTTTTGTATGGCCATCTCCATCCATTGCCTCATTTTGATGGGAATAGTCTCAGGTAATCCTTCCTCCTGTCTTAAACCGGCGGCCGTAGGGGTGAAGGTTGCCTCTGGGATTTGCCAGGCAGTGCTCATTGGAGGAGATATGCCTATGGGAGGCTGTCCAGAATTAGCCTGTCTGGGCTGGGTGAAGTCTATGGCACCAAGGCTTGGTGCCATCTATGGGCATCCTTATCTGCCGCCTTAGAGGCCTTTTGGGGGCCCACTGACTTATCTCGGGACTTATTTGTCTTGGAGTGGAAGACGTTGTCACCTTCCATTGTGGAGGACTGATTCTCGTGCTTCTAACTTTAATTTTTTTAAAAAAATTATTATTATTATTAATATTAGTAGTACTTAGGGGTGATGCCTACCCCTGTGGTTGAAAGTAGAACGCTTCTCCAGGAATGTAAGTCTATCTATATATATCTATATACACACACATATCTATATACATACACATATATACAATACACACACACACACACGTGCCTATATCTACATGTAAAACTGTGTATATGGGAAACAGTATCTAAGGGTCCCCAACAAGGGAAACCCCCAAGCGCTCCAAGCCAGAAATATTCTGGATCCCTGGTTCCCAACAAGGGAAACCAGCTATACAGGGCCTGATGGATCCTTTCCTGTCAAAAACGTCCCGCTGTTTGAAATGGCACTTGCAGTTTCACTCCAATGTAATGATCCAAAAGCAATTGCAAAAAGAGAGAGAAAAAAAATTCCTGTTTAAGGACTAGCCTGCTTATCCAACGCCAGCAAGATAAAAGAGAAATAATGCCAGGGAAGCGGAGTGGGAAGGTACCTGCCCCGGTCCCCAAGAAGGGAAACCAGCGGGGAATGGCGCCTGTGATATTTAGGCACAAACTTGAAGCCAGTCGTTGAAAATGGGGGGAAGGCAGAATCTCCTATGTTAATTGCCTGAGCAGTTTAACGAGCCGCTGCTGCTGACTCTCTAAATTGTCAGATAAATGATCCTGTCAGTCGAAACGGCAAGGAGAGGTGAGCCACGGCTGCGACCGCTCTGCCAAGATCGCAGAGATAAGACGATCAGGGGATTAGATAATCTAATTGCCTGAAGCGGCCGTCTCAGGCTGTCTGCGGAGTGGCACAAAGAATTGCTCTCAAACTGATCGGGGGAATGACCTAATAGAGCCACAAGCCTTGAAATCGCCAAATTAATTGGGGGGAAATGTACAAGCCGAATTAACCCAAGAGCAAACCTGAATTTTGATTAGCTGAATCAGAAAACCGTTCCTGTCAGGGAGTGCACAACCTCTTACCACGAAGGCTGAGCTAAAACTGGGGGACGCTGGGGAGGTGTCCCGTGGAGGAGGAGGAGCGTCCCGGAGTTTTAAGCCCAGCCTTTCCAGAAGAGACTGAAGCACCTCCCACTTCTGGATGCTCTGAACAGCTCATGGGAGAAAAGATTGCTTCAGAAATTTTAAAAAGGATGAGTGGCACCCTTGACCTCAGGCAACCCATAAACAGACTGTTTTTTCAGTCCTCAAAACCATGTATTCGACTCTGTAATCAAAGTTCAGTCATCTGAATGGGCACTGGGGAGGATGGATATATTTTGAATAGCAAAAATTGATTGTCACGTTCAAAAAAGGTCACTGCAGAACTGAAAGGGAGGCCAAAAGGGGGCAGCTGAATAATCACGTGCAACCCCAGAGGACACAGCAATGCAGTGGGAAGGAGGATTTACTGAAATATAAAATTATGCATGACGCTAAAAGTTATTGGCATTTTCTAAGCTTTGAGGGGAGGGGGGGGGGTTTCCCCTGCAGACATTTAATTATCAGGCTAGGTAATATCATTAGTGCATAGAAGAGGGAAATCTTAGCTGTTGCTCATGCTGGCTAAGGCTGGCGGGAATTGGGTTAAAATCACAACACTTGGAGGGTAACAATCTCTTCTCTCCACTCATTAACCCCCAGGGAGAAAGTCTGTAGATATTAGCCACCATTTTTAGCTGCTCTTTTTGAAAAGTAGCAAACATTTTCTGCCTCTAGGCTAGAAACACTGCTACTCAACTTCCTCCAGAAGCCATAAACTTGTTTTCAGAAACATGTTCTGCCTATTGGGGCTCTTTAAAGACACAGTTAGGAAGCAAAAAATAAATAAATCTCTGAATGCCTCTCAGCCACAGTCCTGAAATGGAGAACAGGCAAGTTTTTGATTCAAAGAAATGAAGAGAGAAACAATTTCTTGCTTTTGAACACATCACAATAGCAAAAAATGAACCAAAATGGATGCTTCCCATGGTGACTGAGTTGCAATGGCATCATATAGTAAACAAAGAAGCACTACAGCCTTCCGCTCTCGTTCAATGCATTATATTGCACAAAACCTGTAACATTTTAATACTAGTAGAGTAAGTTAAATTGTTAAGCAGCCAGTAGAAAGACAACAAAATACACCAGGCAACGTAACAGATTAGTGACTAGAGTGGTTAACATATGCACGAACTGGATCACAGCACTTCCAGGGCTGTGAGTCATATCTCTCCAGGTTATGCTCCACCCTAGAAAATAACCTGCTAATACATGAGAGAGGAGCTCAGGATAAAACTATGGCATTCATGTGGAGAAGATACTACTGAGTTGAAAAGCTTTTAAGGATGTGTTCTACTTGCTGCACAAAACGCTCCAACACATGAGTATCAAGCTGTATATGAGAACTAAGCCTTGGGACGAGTATCTCGAATGTGATGTCCTCTTGTTCACATCATCATTAGAAGAGAAAAGAGGTATAAACCCAGTTTTTAATTTTATCATACTATTGCTAATGATTTTTCAACAATTCCTTACCATGCATGGTTCTGATGCACTCAAAGCCTTGGAAATCCCATAGCTTAATGGTCATATCTGCAGAACAGGAGGCCAGTAGCTTGCCACTATGGTCGAAGGAAATATCCTGCACAGAATCTGTGTGGCCTTTCAGGGTGCGTTCAAAATCACCGGTCTCATAATCCCATACCTAGGAATTAGACAAAGAAATTGATAAATATATATACACTGCTCAAAAAAATAAAGAGAACACAAAAATAAGACATCCTAGATCTGAATGAATGAAATATTCTTATTAAATACTCTGTTCATTACATAGTTGAATGTGCTGACAACAAAATCACACAAAAATTATCAATGGAAATCAAATTTAGCAACCCATGGAGGTCTGGATTTGGATTTACACTCAAAATTAAAGTGGAAAAAAACACTACAGGCTGATCCAACTTTGATGTAATATCCTTAAAACATGTCAAAATGAGGCTCAGTAGTGTGTGTGGCCTCCATGTGCCTGTATGACCTCCCTACAATGCCTGGGCATGCTCCTGATGAGGTGGCGGATGGTCTCCTGACGGATCTCCTCCCACACCTGGACTAAAGCATCCCCAACTCCTGGACAGTCTGTGCAGTGCAACATGGCGTTGGTGGATGGAGAGAGACATGATGTCCCAGATGTGCTCAATTGGATTCAGGTCTGGGGAATGGGCGGGCCAGTCCATAGCATCCATCAATGCCTTCGTCTTGCAGGAACTGCTGACACACTCCAGCCACATGAGGTCTAGCATTGTCGTGCATTAGGAGGAACCCAGGGCCAACCGCACCAGCATATGGTCTCACAAGGGATCTGAGGATCTCATCTCGGTACCTAATGGCAGTCAGGCTACCTCTGGCGAGCACATGGAGGGCTGTGCGGACCCCTAAAGAAATGCCACCCCACACCATTACTGACCCACTGCCAAACCGGTCATACTGGACGATGTTGCAGGCAGCAGAACGTTCTCCACGGCGTCTCCAGACCCTGT